GATTGGAGCTAGTTGGCTGACAGTAGGTTTTACAAGAGACGAGGTACATGTAGGAAAGGCATGACCATGAGACTTACTTTAAGGCTTTAGCCTCGAATTAGTCACCCAGACGCACGGGTGGGTTAATTACGCCTCGAATAGCACATATGGAGGGGGGAAATGGTCGAGTGAAATACATGTGCCAGGGAGATAGCAGACGGATTCGACGGGGCAAGAGGGAGACTTTGATAAAACCCAGGGAAGGACTACGTAGCAATATTACAGACACTGGTCAACATTCCCATCACAAGGGTGAAGGGGATGATAACGAGAGTGTGGAGTGTAAAGAGTTTTCATGAATGCCGCTCGAAGGAGCAAACGACACTACATTAAATATAAGCACGGTAAAAAAACTGTGACAGGGAAGGCATGATAGGAGGATATAGGAAATGTGAATAGGCCAGGGCAGAAGGGGAGATAGCACAACTGTTTGTTCACACGTTTGGTCAAAGGATGGACTTTACTTGTCCCTTTGACGAGTTGTAATATGGTGCTACGAATGGCGAGACTCACTGATGATGCCGGCGAGACGTCTGGGAATGTACCACGTTCACGGTCCTACTCCGGAAATAATGATGCATACAATGGACTCCGGACAGGATGCGTTCCTCTAAGTCTTCCTACCAATATGACCGAGTTGCAAAAACAAGGTCAAACAACTTCTAAGAAAAGCTTTATTTAGCTTGAAAGTACGAGATCAGAACAGAAGTTTAATTACTATAAAAATGGTGTCTAAATATTTATAAAGCTGTGAAATTTAATTAACTTAAAAAACACGATCCATAATCAAGCTAGGACATATCGTATCCTCTATTGAATTTAATATCAAGTATTGAATAGTAATTTATTGCTCATTGGCTTCTGACTAAACTCCACTTATTATTAAGAACGATCTTTTTTTACTATATAAATAATGTTTAGAGTTGAGTTTTCGCAACCTGTGCATGTTTTCAGAATAACCTCAGACAACGTATTTCATACAGCGTTATCAACCTTACTAGTTATGTGCCTCCGAGCATCAGATAGACTTGGTAGGCTCATGAGTTGATAACCAAACGAGCTTCTTACTAGCCCTCTCTCTAAAATCTCTCAGTGGATATGGCAAAATTGTGAAAAAGTGAAACGTGATCATGAAAAAGAACGGTAATACATAGTTAGAGTAATCCTTAAGTTGCTGTAGAATATATAAGTCATTGCGGGCTGATAGCAATAATAAAAAATAAAAAGAAGGGATTACTAAGTCTCGAAACTATCTTGAGCCAAAAGTGAAACCACAACATGCCACATAAGCTGATAGTAAAATTTTCCTAAAATTATATGGGTAGGCCCCACGATGTCAATGAATTACACTTAGCCTGGCCACATAAAATGAATTCGCCCCAGGGTAAACTGTAATATCGACCTCGCCTGGATTTAATCAACACCCAAAAGATGAATCGAAAGCGCGTAGTGCAGCATTTCTCCACATGCTGCTACTACGCTATAGTGACACGGGTGTCAGTGGGTTATAGAGCAGGTATGACTTTCAGCACAAGCCAGTTCTCTCTCATATCAAATTATTTTAGTGGGATTTTTGACGAAGCAAACGTTAAAAGTCACGTCTGCCTCATGACCGAGTGACGCATGTGTTAGCTTGGAGTAGTGGTATAACGCAACAAAACACGGACTAGATTTCCTATTGTGTTGTTAATAAAACGCAGGTATGGTCAAAACTGCAGTCAATTCTAAATTAAAATTACTTTTATGTGGTAAGGCTAAACGAAATTCAATAAAATCGAGAGGCCTACTGATATTATTATGGAAAAATTTAATTATTAGACCTTCTTAACCTTGTGCGACCTATGGAGAATACAGGTCTTAATTAATAAAAATAAGCTTTAATTATAACAAAAATAGAGCAGTGATGAGCTAATATCAAATAGGACGATCAAGGTGAAAAACCTTAGAGCAGTGAGAAATAGCTTTTGTAATCGATGGCATCTGGCGACCAAATACTCAACACAACCGGGCTGTCGATTCTGGACCGGGCCGCACCAGCCAATGTCTAATTCTCGCAGGTTTGGACAGAGGTCAGCCAATTGAAGGAGGCCATCAGCTAAGAAGTTGCGCGACCGCCAGAGATCAAGAGATATTAGCCCGCTATAATAAACAAGAATAAATACAATTCTAAAGGAGAAACGCAATAACATTTTAATAAAAAGATTTCCCCTAAACTCAGTGTACGAGATAAATGGAAGTTATAAGTTAGGTACTCTTGAATGGACCGTCGATTTTAACATATCAGTACTTACTTCATAATTATTTGACATACTGAGTAGATGATAGATTTTTATCGGTTATATGAGCGATAAGCCATATGGCTGGTATGAAACAAGCAGATAACAAACGAAATTATAAAAACGGATTCGTTGGTTCCAGGTTATATTGCTCAAAACGAATATAGAACCAAGCAGCCTCAAATAAGCTTAAAGATGAACATAGAAAAATCCCACTAGTTAACGGTAGGAATCAAGAATAAGTGGGTCGACAAGGTCAGTCAATTCAATAGGTTTAAAATTAAGTAAGAAACAGTTTAGGAATAATGATACGCAATGAGAAGTACTTTGTAAATTGATTACTTAATGTTAAGGGATCCAATGAACCTTCATCCAAAAAATTGTATAATATTCATGTTCCGAATTAAAGGCAAAATAAAATAAAGCACGAAAAGTGTCCGAGATTTTGTCGAAAAGATAGTTCATTAACGCTTAGGGCACGTAGGCTACCATGGAAATAAATTAATATATATGAAAGTTTTCAATAAATCTCCTAAATTAGCAGTTATAATGACTTTCATTTCGTGGAACAAAGTGTAATAAAAAGATTCGTGAATAAATCTTGTCAGAAGACGACGGCAGATTCCCTTTGGTCTGCAGTATGATTTTCAAGACGTCAATGCTAGTAGTCCTCGATCTCCAAGTAATGAATCATTGAAAGGCCAAATTTGCCTCAGAATTAAGAATCGTTAAAAGAGCATCTAATGACTTATTGTGAGTTAGAACTAAGGAAATAAATATAAAAGTGCAGATAAAGGCAAATATTATCAGTACTATTTTAAACTAAAAAAATATCGGTGGTTAGGTTATATGATAAATATCGTAGATATGAAGACCAAGATGGTGTGGCGTTCTCTTTGGTCGCTATCTTCTTTAGCAATTTTAGTGCTAGTTCGACTTTGTTTTCGCAATTTGGTATGAGCGTCAGGGAGACCTAGTTGAACGTACCTAGTCCTGTGTCTTATGCCATAGTATTCGTGATTTCCAGCATCGGACCATTGACTTGGTACATTCACAAACGTTTCACCTGTATCGTCATTGTTAGCACAGAGTTACAACTAATCAAAGGGACAAGTGAAGGCAATCCACTTGATACATTTTCTGTTAAACCACTGTGGCATCACTCTTCGCCCCTATTCTTCATTCTACCTTCTAGCGCTGAATATCATTCTCTCAACCCCACTTCATATGGTCCATCTGCAAATTCACACAATTTTGTGACCTCGTTTCCTCAAATGGCTGTCTAAATGCTTTCAATTCTCGTTCCCGATTACCCCATATTCGAGGATTTAGAGCAAATAATGCCCATGTCCATGCTCATACCAGTGTCTGGAAAACTTGCTTTCCGTGAGCTCAAAGCCTATGACTCGAATATACTATTTCTCATCCCCACCCACATTGTGTCCCATTCTTTGAGGCCCTGCGTCCGGCCGCTGGTGTGAAAATGCACCGCACACTCCTCCTGTACCTGGGGCGCATTTTTTGTGTCTATGTCTAAGGGAGAAGGGACTGGTAACATACTAGACCACAGGGGATGTTAGCCAATACACACATGAACATCCTAGTACCCTAGGATTAGATGGGATTGTCAACCTGTAGGACAAGAAGTGTTTTTCGTGATTCAAGGGAAAAAATGGAAGCAGTGCATTTTCCCAGTAACGGCCTTGACTTGAGCAGGACGCAAGGCCCCAAAAAATGGGACACAATGTGAGTGGGGATGAGGAAGAGGATAATCGAGTCATAGGTTTGAAGTCTAAGGAGAGGAAGATTCCCAGGCACTGGCATGGGCATCATCTGTTCTAATTCCTCGAATATAGTCTAATTGTGGACGGGGATTGAAGGCTTTAGGCAGCCACATTGCAGACAACCAGGCAATTATTTTTATTATTTACAATAAATTTCTCCTTGTAAACCTTAGGAAGAGCGTAAGCCGTGGGGCCTTTGCATCTCTCTGAAGTAGTGAATTCATTTTCCACTTCTCTATTTCACCATTACTTACATATACCTTAAGGGCATCCTTAAGCCCAGTCTTAAGTCTTTCTGTTGGATCTCTCAGTAAAGGCCTATACGTGTCATTGTCATTTAAATAAACTAGCATTTTTTCAACATAACTTGACTTACTCATCACTACCACTGCTCCACATTTTTTGGCTTTCAACAGAATTCATCCGTCCTGTTCTGGATAGATCAACCTATGAATCTCTTCTTCATGCACTTTCATACGAAAAGAAAGTCCCCCCAACAATGTTATATCAGGAGATTCATTTAAACCCAATTTCTCTTCGTATCTACAATTATTTATATGTTTAGCAGAGATCAATTAACAGGCGGGTTATAAGAAAGGGGGTATAAGGTAGATCAGGGGCCCTGCAAATGGCACCTAGTACCGATGATGGAGATAATCATGCTTCACTAAACCCATTTGTAGCGACATGCTCTCAGGCGATATTGGAGGAGACGAGTGCACAGAATTGTGTGAATAAGTAAGTATGCCATATGAAGTGGGGTTGAAAGAGATGTGGCAATAGAAAATAGAAGAAAAATAGAGGCGGGGAGTGATACCACAACGGTTGAACACAAAATTGGTCAAGTGGATTGCCTTCACTTGCCACTTTGATAAGTTGTAATTCTGTAGTAACGATGACGATGACGACTGCGATGCCGGCGAAACGTTTGGGAATATACCAAGCCAATTATCCGAGGCTGGATACTATGGCAAATGATAAAGGACTAGGTACGTTTTACAAGGTCTTTCTGACGATCCGAACAAGTTGCGAAAACAAGGTCGAACCAACATTATATAATAAAAAATGTTAACATTGAAGAACTTATGAGAAGGCATACTGGTAGTTTTAAAAAATATTCAAAAAATAGGTGAGAAACTGGGTTTATCCTAAAAAAAATTAAGAATTGAGGTATAAGAATCAATAAAAAGAGATATCAGAGTCTATCAAAAGGTCAAGTTAAAGAGAAAAGTGGAATATGAGGAAAATCGTCAAATATCCAAATAACAATCGACATTACCACTGAAGCTCTTTCAAAACTTTGTGCTTTAAAATAGTAAGCATAACAGGAAGGAAATGATGATAGTACTCATAATATTTATTGAACCATCTTGGTGTTCATATCTACGATATAAAAGATTAAGTAGGTCAAGTAATTGAAGTATCAAATAACTTACGGATTAGATTTGGCAATGGCGAGAATCGATCTATTCATAGAATGTACGAAAGAACAAGCACCAAGATTAAGATGCTCCAAACGTTGACAAAGAGCTGCTAAATTGGCCAGAGCAGCGTCAGTCACTTTCGTCCGATATAGCGACAGCCAACGAAGCCGTATAAGCCTCCCCAAAGGGAGAAATCCATCGCTGTCGATTGCAAGACACGAGGAAAGGTCCAATACTCGAAGTGAAGGAATGAATGGAAGGATAAGCAAAGAAAAAAATATGATAGGTCGACATAGTTAAGAAAGAAGAGACTATCTTGCACACCACACTATCTAAATAAACGCGGTACAAATTGCAATAGTGCAGGCATAATAGGATGCTACCAGAAACGCGGATAACCCAGGGCGGAAGGGGAGATACCATAATTGTTTAGCATACGTTTGG